CAAGCTTGCCATAGTTCTTGTGGTATTCACATAGAGAACATTCTTCTACAATGTAATCAATCTGGAGTCCTGCGTGTCCAGCTTGAGCTGAATGTAGTAGGTTTCTAAGAAAGTGCTTGCGTAGAATTGCCTGCATGCGTCCTGGAGGTGTTGAAAAAATGGGGGAATGGAATGGATGATGGATGGTACTTCATCATGGCTTCTGATAAGGATTGTTGGAGGTGAGTTCTCGACTGGTCTCTTCTTGGAGAGTGCTACTTCTTCAAAATCTCCTGATTCTGGATTGAAATGCCGAGCCTTGTCATTGAGGATGTTGATGCTAAGAAAATCATTTCCTGCCTGCCGTGATTCTCGGAGTGTATTGACTAGGGAGGGGTCCAAATCCATGATCTCGATGTCCTTTGCCTGGAGAGCATCTAAAATTTTCTTCCAAATTTCTTGGAGGAGGTGAAGTTGACATCTGCTTTTTGGATGGAGAGGATGATCTTTCTGAGCCTCCTTCCTGTCTGAACTTGGTGATCGGTGCAAGTTCTTCCGGAGAAAGTTCCATGGTTTTCTACCCCGAAGCATCTGCAAGTGAAAGTGAAAGCGAAGTGGTCAAGGGTGAACCAGTGGGACCACCCCAAAGCCCAATAACGGCAAGGTGAAGGCCTAGGGGAATGCAAAGCAGATGTAAATAACCTTGAGGGAAGGTGGAGAATGCCAAATGCCAAATGTTGTCTGTGATTGAAGCAGCAGTGGAGACTGCTGAAAGTGGGCGCAGCTTGGCTTGTACCAAATGCCTCAGTTGGCTTGTGCCAAATGCCTAAACGTCGGCCATGATCTTTACGTATGTCAAACCCCGCTAGGTGGCCATGGTCTCTACACATGTCAAACCCCGCTAGGTCGAAACATAGGCCATGGTCTCTGCAGATGTCAAACCCCGCCAGGCTGAAACTTAGGCCATGGTCTCTTCAGACGTCAAACCATTTCATGGTCTCTACTACGTTATGAATATGGTTCTTAGTTGTGCGTATTTTTTTGGATTGTCATTTCCACTTAAGTTGCGTGGTGATTCTCAGGTGGCGCATTTTTCGCTATGTTCAGCATCAGCCTGTTGGGGGGAGACAGGTTGGTTGGTGGTGAACTTCCTGGTTCATCTCATGGCATCCAATGGTTCAAAGGCTGTTTGATGATCACTATGGTTGGCTTCCAAAGATGGACCAAGCAATCATGACTTTCTCGTTGCCGGTTTTTTTGGGACACATTCAACCGGTGTCCTACAATCGACAGTCGCGGATGAGCCGCGGATGTTTTTGGTCCCGATGGTGGACTTTAATAACAGTATACTTGACGGTGCGATTCGGCGGCTGCGATCATAGCCATCGAAGTGACATTTTATTGGTTTATTTGAGTATTGTTTTTCCAAATCAAGGCAATTGTTAGAAATACAATGAACGTCAAATGATTAATACAGTCAACAAATGACAAAAAAATGTCGCAAAATTCACCTGCAACTGACGCTGGCTTCTCTGCTCAGTAGCGGTAGCCGCCCAGCCTTGAGGACAAAAAGATGGCGGTTGACACCATATGACAATGACATCTTATGATCATTGGATCAATATCAATGGTAATGGTAATGGCGAGTCATGTGGTTGATGGTCATCATCATGACCATGGTTGATCATGCTCAAACATCTAAATTTTTCGTGAAAGCTGGTGGAAACACAGAGTTGTGCCAAAAGTTCGCCCTACCTCAGCGACGATGCCAGGCGCAGCTGTGGGACAAGTGGACATGGCGTTCAGTTGTGAAAGTTGGGGAGCTAGAGCCGCTAGGATGCCATGCTCTTAATGGCAGTGGTATACCTTGCCTCTTAATGCTTGAAATGGATCGAAGTGGATTGCTAAGATTTGTTTTTTAATAGTCTGCAGGTGGACATGCAGATCATGGCAGTCATGTCATACCATGCTGATGGATCAGCCTTCAAGTGATTCAGTTTGATCAACGTGAACATTGCGAATGTCTCATCCCATTCTCCATTGGCCCCTCACCATGGTGAATTCTCTCATCTCATTCTTTTCATCTTCCCATTTGGGCTTAAGTGGCGAGTCGGGTCGGATGGCTGATGCGAATCATGGTCCGCAAAGTGTTTGGAGCACTGCATTGTTTCTTCTCTTTTACACCATCTTATAGTAAAGTCTTATGGATTTAGTGCCATGTAGTACCTGGTTCGGTACCATGTACCTGATTTGGTACCTATATGAACTGGAGTAGTGCCTGGATTTGGCACCATGTAGTACCTGATTTGGTACCATGACCTGATTTGGTGCCTATATTAGTTATATTAGCCCATATTTAAGAACTGGAGTAGTACTTTCCACTGCATTGAATTCTCGATGTGTTTGGCAACGTTTGTGGCGAGGTGCCACGCGTTTGTAGCAGCAACGAGTCATCTGTGTGCCTTTCCGAGTGCCAGGTCATGGGACGCCGACACCTTCCTGCAGGTGCAGATTGGTCAGACTTGGACATGTCGACCCTGGGAAGCCAGATTCTTTCGTTAGGTGCTTAAGCCAGGAAGAAAGCGGGTGTGCATAGAGGCTTTGTCGGGCTCATCTTGGACAATTGGTGGGGTAGATGGGATTTAAGATATGAACTGAGGCGGGCAGATTGATGATTTTTTACAGTTGAAAGGGCGTGCTTTCGCTTGGCTTGGTTTGTAACTAAGATGACCAGATAGATGCTTCAAGTATATCCCTAGCAGATCAATGGGTTTGCGAACCATCGACACCTTCAGCCAGCCCTGGATGAACCACCCGGCTTGCGGACAAGGCGTGTTTCATCTGGGTGAGAAACTGGGAGATGCAAGTTGAACCGACCTCATCGGGTGGCGCTTCATGACCGCTACCGTACCCTCCAATGCTACAGATGCAGGCCTGAAATTGAACAAGAAAGATGCGTGGGCTCATCTAGATAGATAAATTGATGTATCATACTAGTGCTTGGCGTGGTGTAGCAAAAATCATGCTCTTGCAGGTAGTTAAGACGGGAAATGGGCCCAGTGATGCTATCCCACAAAGCCAGCGTGCAGGTTGGTGAATGAATTAAGTGCTTTATCCATTGGAATGAAATTTTGACTGGGTCTTTTTGACCAAGTGAAAGTTCCACCGCGTCTAGAGCTCACCACACTCGATGGGGCCGAAAACATTTCTTTCCTTTTCACTTTCCCGACTTCTCACCTTGAAGAACCTTCGAGCGACATGGATCAAAAGAGAACGGAAGGCAAGCAAGAACAGAAAGCACATAGGAAAGAGAACAGAAAGGAAAGAAGAGACAAAGAACGATCTTCTCCTTGCAGCTTTACAAGCTTGAGCAAGACCGCGATGGAAAGGAACAGATGGAGGTGGAAGCGTGCCACCTGAGTCTGTCACTGACAAGCGGAGAGCGGTGGACAGCTTCAAATGTCCCAAATTCAAGCAAGCTCTTGGGGTTCGGATCTTATTCCATCTATTCCTAGGACCCAAGGGACTGTAACTTGGTGCAGTGGCCATGGAGGTGTGATTTGTTGCACAGCGCACTTGCGCAAGCGGCACAGGTGGAGGAGTCGTTGCAGCTCAGTGACTTGGGACGGTCTTCGTAAGCTGATCTCGGGCAGTGCCGTTCGGTGTGGTGCCACTCAGCGGGGGAGTCCCCGGGTCCTCGGCCCTTCGGCCACGTTGCAGGGTGACTGCAGAGTTCCATAGGAAGAACTGGGCCTCGAACTGCGATGACAATGAAGCAGTACAATTGTGACAAAGATCTCGCTGGTACCATAGAGCTGTCATCTTGCCGATAAGTCCTGAGTCCCAAAGAGTGAGCTCCGGTTTCCAGAGTCTCCAGTCAGCCCTCGACCGACAAAGCACAGTCCTCGAAATTGACCAGAAGGTCTTGTCTTGGATGCAATGTTTTTTGAACGACACCCACGCATGCTGCTGAATCCGTTACACCGAGATTTGCAATCTAAGGCGACATTTTGCACGGTTTGAAACATAATCTTACTGTGATATATATAGACAATACATTTACACAGTTTGAGACATATCTCCGCCCAAAGCGCGATTGGTCATGGCTAAATTGCGAAGCTGTCTTGGAGACCTGCTAGCTAGGTCCGGTAGTTCCAAAGCACCCAAGAGTGACGACTTTGCACACAGATTTCTGTGAGAAGCTGAAGGGTGTCAGTGAGGTTTCTGTTCATCCTTAGTTGTGTATTTGTCAATACCTTTAAGTATTTGCATTTATTTGTCTCTGCACCGAAGGTGAAGAGTCTGAAGAGCCTTCATTGATATATTGTTTGTATGCAGAGATGCGTCCTTGGGGTTCGTGCTGAAAAATGCGAGTCTATTGACGTCTTGCAACTCCCCGGGTCAGTTCACAGCGACAGCCAGGATATGGTTGCAGCATGAGCTTGCGGAGAACATTTGAACTAGAAATACATCAGCGCTCATCTTGTTGTCCCGCAGTCAAGACTTGTACTTCTTGGAAAATGCAACGCATCCTTGATCCGCATTGCGGTAACAAGCCGCGAGAGTTCCCTTGCAATGCTGGGAGATGAAAGGAGCTGTGCCCCGGTGGACAAGCTGAAAAATCACTGAGGTGTTTTTTGTTCGTTGCCGAGTTCATGTTACATCCATTCAGACTGCATTGACAACGACTAATTACCTGGAATCAGAGAGGTATAGCCAGAGAGACACACATGAACAGCTGAACGGAGGTGACTCTCCTTGTGGTTTTCAGCCTTTGCCTTGCTGCCATTTCTGCTGACATCACACGGCTTGAAGGCGGTCGAGAGACATTGACGAAGAGACCAAAACTAAGAGATGCCATGAGCATCCTATCGTTCAGTGACAGTCGCAATCGTCACAAAGAACATCAAAGAACACATGTTAAAACATGTTGTCAAAGAGATTTTGAAGAACATTTGGCCCAGAGTCCGAGGGCCTTTCGCAAGCACCATGGCGTTGATGTGGCTGTTGGTGCTGATGGCATGCAGCTCCCAAGGCGAGCAGTGCTGCCGCGCCTTCCAAAATGGGACCGAGCTACGCAAAGCTGTCGGCGCTTGGAGTCAGTGGGCAGATCCATCTGACACTTGGCAGCATCGGTTGTGAATTGTGGCGATTTTGAGAGATCATTTGGCATTTGGGATGTTGGAGGGATTTGGAATGTCTGAAATTAGTTCTTTGACTGCATCACGATATAATATCACTACCCCGAATCTTGGCACTTTTCACCCATATACCGTCTAGACATTTGCAGACAATAATAGAAACCTTGGCTGAAGGTTGTTGTTTGTGGGGTATAGTCATGTTGCCTACTGTATGCACGCGTGTGTTTATCTAGGGTTCGTCAGACCGAAATGAGTCAGAATTCCCAGTTTCAATCCCATTGGTTTTGTTGGCCTCCCAAGCTAACATAACACAAATTCAGGAAAAGTTGCAGGTGATCTCCACTTACGGAGAAATCGCCAACTGGGATGTTTCGAACGTGACGAGCATGTCGAGGTTGTTTGCCGAAATGAGAGCCTTTAACGAGCCCATTGGCTCGTGGAACACCTCGGCAGTGACCGACATGCAGTCCATGTTCTACAGGGCCAGGGAGTTCAATCAGCCCATTGGCTCCTGGGACACCTCAGCGGTGACAGACATGCAGAGGATGTTCGAGGAGGCCAGGGAGTTCAATCAGCCCATTGGCTCCTGGGACACCTCGGCAGTGACAGACATGCAGAGGATGTTCTACACGGCCGAGAAGTTCAATCAGCCCATTGGCTCGTGGGACACCTCGGCAGTGACAGACATGCAGAGGATGTTCGAGGAGGCCTGGGAGTTCAATCAGCCCATTGGCTCCTGGGACACCTCGGCGGTGACAGACATGCAGAGGATGTTCGAGGAGGCCGAGAAGTTCAATCAGCCCATTGGCTCGTGGAACACCTCGGCAGTGACCTCCATGCAGAAGATGTTCTACGGGGCCTGGGAGTTCAATCAGCCCATTGGCTCCTGGGACACCTCAGCGGTGACAGACATGCAGAGGATGTTCGAGGAGGCCAAGGAGTTCAATCAGCCCATTGGCTCCTGGGACACCTCGGCAGTGACCTCCATGCAGAAGATGTTCTACAGGGCCTGGGAGTTCAATCAGCCCATTGGCTCCTGGGACACCTCGGCAGTGACAGACATGCAGAGGATGTTCGAGGAGGCCTGGAAGTTCAATCAGCCCATTGGCTCGTGGAACACCTCGGCAGTGACCTCCATGGACACGATGTTCGACGGGGCCTGGGAGTTCAATCAGCCCATTGGCTCCTGGGACACCTCGGCAGTGACAGACATGCACAGGATGTTCGAGGAGGCCAAGGAGTTCAATCAGCCCATTGGCTCCTGGAACACCTCGGCAGTGACAGACATGCACAGGATGTTCGAAGAGGCCTGGGAGTTCAATCAGCCCATTGGATCCTGGGACACCTCGGCAGTGACAGACATGCAGTCCATGTTCTACTACACCTGGAAGTTTAATCAACCCATTGGCTCGTGGAACACCTCGGCAGTGACCGACATGCAGTCCACCCTCGTGGGGGGGGCGCGGGTGACCGCGCGGGAATTGACCTGGTTACAAATTCCCCCCCACAACAGGCCACTTACCCCGCTCCACTGCCTAACACGCAGTGGTGAGCGTCAGAGATGACCGGGGCAGCGCCGGTAAAACGGAAGGTGGCTACGTTAATGCACCGCCCAGTGTCACGCTAACACCGTGGCCACCATTCTGTGGTGCCGGGACCCTGGACTGGGCACAGCCAGCCACCAGACTGGCAAACCGCCGGCTACCACACCGGAACACTGGCACAGACCAGCTCCAATTGGCGCAAGCCATACATCACTTTGCAAAATACAACGTACCGATGTGGGCTCTGCCCCATCACACCCAGTTCACTGGGACCAGCACTCTCGTAGCAGCAGCAGCTGCTAAACACAGCATTGACACTGCGGCTGCAGCCGCAACACACGACGGGCACCCGCCCGTGACCTTACCGGTCTTCATCACAAGAAACACAGCCAGCCGGCTTTTTCCACGCTTTGCGTGGGGTGCCCCTTAATCCAATGCCTTCTTGGCTCGCCAGGTTGGGTGCACTTTCAAAACTACAACTACAACCGACATGCAGTCCATGTTCTACAGGGCCTGGGACTTCAATCAGCCCATTGGCTCCTGGGACACCTCAGCGGTGACAGACATGCAGAGGATGTTCGAGGAGGCCAAGGAGTTCAATCAGCCCATTGGCTCCTGGGACACCTCGGCAGTGACCTCCATGCAGAAGATGTTCTACAGGGCCTGGGAGTTCAATCAGCCCATTGGCTCCTGGGACACCTCGGCAGTGACAGACATGCAGAGGATGTTCGAGGAGGCCTGGAAGTTCAATCAGCCCATTGGCTCGTGGAACACCTCGGCAGTGACCTCCATGGACACGATGTTCTACGGGGCCTGGGAGTTCAATCAGCCCATTGGCTCCTGGGACACCTCGGCAGTGACAGACATGCACAGGATGTTCGAGGAGGCCAAGGAGTTCAATCAGCCCATTGGCTCCTGGAACACCTCGGCAGTGACAGACATGCACAGGATGTTCGAAGAGGCCTGGGAGTTCAATCAGCCCATTGGATCCTGGAACACCTCGGCAGTGACAGACATGCACAGGATGTTCGAACAGGCCTGCAAGTTCAATCAGCCCATTGGCTCGTGGAACACCTCGGCAGTGAAAGACATGCAGTCCATGTTCGAGGAGGCCAAGGAGTTCAATCAGCCCATTGGCTCCTGGAACACCTCGGCAGTGACAGACATGGGGAGGATGTTCTACAGGGCCGAGAAGTTCAATCAGCCCATTGGCTCCTGGACACCTCGGCAGTGACAGACATGCAGAGGATGTTCGAGGAGGCCTGGAAGTTCAATCAGCCCATTGGCTCCTGGAACACCTCGGCAGTGAGAGACATGCGCTGGATGTTCAGCGGGGCTATCTCCTTTGACACTTCGATTGGCTTGTGGGACATTTCTTCCTTGATAAGTTTCTTAGCCAAGTGGGTGAAGTGGGCGGAGATTCATTTTTTGGACTTGGCTTGGTGCCTCACACTTTTATGCTGTTCCTGTTGCCCATGTTTTGCCGATGTTGCCCCTGGCTCCCACAGCCTGAGGTCATGATGGAATGTCTGGCACCGTGAAGCTGAAGCCTCCATGCCAACCCGGGAGAGGTCCCGGCCGCAACAATCTGATGTGTGAACGATGCGACGTCGGAAAATTCGCGCCAGCTCAAAGCTTCTGTCAAGAGTGCCCCGAAGGTTGGGATGGCAGAAAGTTGGGATGGCAGTCGGTTGGTAGCATATGGCTGAAACTAGTTATAAGGCGGGGAGACCGTCGAGACCATGAAATTGTTCATGGTGTTGGTGTTATCCGATTTGAGCATGGTACCATTGCTAGCCTTGCTAGCTTTGTTCTTCCATGCCTCAGGTTCAACTCCTTCCGAGGAGCGGAGCACGTGCGAAGAGTGCTTGGGGTCGCACTACTCTATGAGCGGCGTCGATGGCTGCTTCCCCTGCAACTTGCCATTGGTGTTGGTGGACAACAAGTGCGTGTCTGGGCAATGAGACCAAGCAATGACATTGTGTTTTCAACGCCGTTTAGAGATATTTTGAGACATGGAAATCCAGCAGTCAATGATTTTTTGTGGTGTTCCGGCTTCAAAGCTGGAAGTGGATGCTGTTTTCTGACCCCTTTCCTTTGACTGCCGGTTGTGAACTGTTGATCGCGTGGAACAATGACTTAATTGAACTTGCGCGTCCATTGCGCTGACGGCTTGCGGACTGTGTTTTGATCTGAGTGTATCAGTCTTCACGGCCAGCAACCCCTCGTTCTTGCACGGGCATTGAAGTTTTCGAATCTGATTTTTGCATGTCCATTGTTTCGAAGCTAGGGTGGGAGATTTGGAGAAGTGAGATGTTTTAGCTCATGAATCAGACATATCTTGGAGGCCAGAGGGACGCAAATTCTGAAGTGAGATGGAACATCTCTTGCTTAGAAGGCTTGTGTGGGATAGATTGAACTTCTAGAACTGTTTCGGATTCCATGTTTAATGGCTTCACTTTATTTCGTGACTGCCTGTGTTACCCGTTTTGACTGCCGTAGGTGACCCCTGACCTGCCTGGATGGGGTTGGATTATGTTGGGTTGGGTGGGCTTGATGTAACAACCCTCACGCATTGTGAGCTCTATCTTGGCATCGTACTTTGGATCCCCTCTTTACTGCGGAAATTTGAGAACCGCAACGCAGATCTATTGTCCCAAACTGACAAATGGCTCAACCACAACCACGAAAATCCAGCGACCAGAAAATTGTGCGGTCCCGCTGGATGATAACTCTGCCTTCTGTGCACTTGCCGTTTATTAATGTCGCACTGCCAAGCAGAATGCGAAATGAACATGGACCTTCAGAATGTGCTAGAACACGCACGCTGCTTTCAATTTTTGCCTTGCTCGGATGTTTCAAGACACCCCTGCAAGACACCCCTGCCTTTCTTCGTATCCGCATGCAGTGATTCATTTCATGATGCTCATGAGGTCTGGTGGCACCTGCCACTTCTGGTGCTTGGTTTGGTTGCATTGGGGGTCGGTGGTCGCTTAGCCTTTTCGTGGAACAGCTCTCGCAAAGCTCGGAAGATCGAACGCACCCTGGAGGAAGTCTATGCCCAACTTTGGGATGCTTGGTATTCGAAGCATATCATGTGCCAAGGCCCCCTGACTGCCAAACGAAAGCCTCCATTGGGATAACTTGCACAGCAATACACAGCATGGATGCTTGACCAGGCGGGAGTTTGAAGTTTATCGAGGGCTCAGTTTCTAAATGCCAACATGTTCAACACATGTCATCATATAGAGCGTGAGCCTGTGGGGTGCCTCTCTGAGGATGAGCAACCAGACACGCTCACGGCATACTCGAAGAAATTGAGTCGTCTTGGGCTTCAGAAAGCCAAGTTCGAGCAAAGCGTGTCTGCCATGCGCGTCCGCCAGAGTCAAAGAGCCGGGGTTTCTAGATAGCAAAGCATGTTTTTGACTATGTTGATGCAGTTGCTCTTTCATAAACCTGTTTTCCTGCCCTTGATATTCCACGATGATCTGCGCGCGCCTGTGTTTTGCTCCCAGTCCAGACCCTGAACGATCTCGGGCCCAGGTCAGCATACAATATCTGCTATCTGCTGACTTCGCTCAAGTGGCAACGCAACGCACTGGCAAGAACGATCCGACCTTCATCGATCCTTGTTCAAGTTTAATGCTCACTTTGCCCAGCCATACCCGTAGGGTCAGAACAACCCTGTTTCGACGCTAATCTCATGTGCAACGTTTCAAAATATGAAATAACTATGGATCTTATGCCTGGATCTGCCGTTTTTTGACAGCCTTCGTTTAGTTTCACCCAGGTCGGCAAATGTCACATCGCATTACATGTTAAAAGGTCAAACTGTTTTCGACGAAACTCAGGACATGAAGACGGCCTTTTGGCTTTCAGAAGATCCCATTGGTCGAGACATGGTCTGTCCACGTGATGGTAGAGCTGGATGTGCGTTAGTCGATTGGATACCGCGCTGTGAACGCCGAGAACAGACGCATTTCATGAGCTGGACCTGGAAATACAGTCTGCACGAGGCAAACATGGGCAAATTGGGCGAACAGTTTTCATCGCGTCTTTGTCAAGTACTTTTGGAAACATGGTGTGCCATTTTGTGAAATTCCTGTTGTATCCTGTTGTGCAGTTTTCCTTCGCACTTGTGACCAGAGTAGTTGCCATGTTGGAGACACTACTTTTGATGTCCCAAAGCTGGAAGATGTCTGTCACGGAGCCATTTAATCCGGTGCCAGGAAATCAGAGGATGTCATAGGAGCTTGTTCAACTTTTGGGCGTCCTTTGTTCGCTTTCTTGCCCGAAACGATATGAGGAACTTCCAAACCAGGTTGAGGTTTCCAGCTTCCCTGCACACAATGAAGTAGTCCCGGCTGCCCGATGGAGAGAGAGAGAGAGAGAGAGAGGCCCAGCTGCCCCAGAGCACAGGTGCAGAGTGCTTTGGAGATGTTTCAGCAAAGCCTGGTTGGTTCATGTTACTTCTTCATGTGTTTCTTCACAAACAATCAGTACCGAATCCTGGTCGAAGAGAGCAGCACTGGAAGCGACAATCTCGAGGAGGTGTTTGAGAGCAATCTCAAACGTATCGGAAAAATGGTTGCCATTTTGGATACGTGGCATCAACCGGTATATTTGACGCGCATCTGGACGGTCTACGAGCAATTTGTGGCATCCACGATTGAGATCGAGGCCACTGCTTCCAGTGTGTTAGGAAGATCCAAAATCAAAGACATGTATAGACATACTGGTATTCCAACATGCTTGTTATTTATTATATTTGTTATTTGTTGCATTTGAAGCGTTGATAATTATCGTGTCGATTCTTAAGCTTGAGGTAGCGGAAACTCCAGTTTCCCTGACATCTCAGGTGCAATTCGTCATGCCAAGTGCCGCTGCGGATCATCTGCAGAGGCAGATTGCGAAGGGTTCTAAAGGTATTGATGAGGTAATCGAATCCCTCAGTCAAGTGGATTCTGAAGAAGCGAAAGCGTGGAAGATGGAGGATGAGACCAAAGTGAAGCCCATCACAAATGAGATACACTCAAGACATTTCAAGAGATCATGAACATGTTATGTTATTTGCATGCTAATGTTCTTTCAGGGATTCTCTTGATTCTCTGAAGACTCGTGGGGAGATTTTTGGAGTTCGATGTGCTCAGCCATGTCATTTGCCATGCCTAAGGAAGTCTTTGATCGAGGTTCTCAACCGGGGGCGGGGGTTGGACATCTTAGATATTTGACACAACATGTTTGTTATTGAGATATAGATCCAAAATACAAAGAGCCATTGAATGTACACACATATGTTGAGACGCCCAACTGTTGGACTTTTCGGGCAGCTGTGCAGGGTTGTGGTGGGCTTTGTGTGATCCAGAATCTGCCGTATGTTTCATGTGATTAAGATCCAGAATCAGCCGTACATTTTGGAGATTTTGACATCTTCATTTAATGGAGACCTCGAGCAGTACATGTTTCAGATACCAACTCACGTTGACCACACGGTGGAGTCGACCTTTCTAATCTTAACTCTTCACCGAAGACATGTTGCACATAGGTCCACGCCATGTAGATCCTCTGGTGTTGTGGTAGAGGGTCTGCAATGACCACTGTAGCAGCTAGGTGCACAGTGAGACAACGACCTGGGCTAGTCCTGGGATGTCTGGTGCAGTCCCAATGTTCAACGCTGCTTCCACCTGGAAAGGATACTGTCGGCTTCGATCACGTCGATATGCACGTGAGGACTGTCATGATCACGTGGATAGGATCAGTCGTGGAACAGACATGTCGGGAGTTCCTTGCCTTGCAAAGTGGCCGTTTGAGTTGCTGAAGACGCAATGCAAACGGAAACCTTTTCAACGCGCTCTAGGCGGAGACGTCGTACAAAAGCAATGATTCTGATGCTGTTTGACAAGTTTTTTTTTCGCTCATCCTGACCTTGCAAGTGAAACATTTTATAGAATAAGGAAAAAGAATGAGGGAACATGTCAGAAGTTGGTCAACTGAAATTTGACCCGCATGATGCATCTGGTGGTCAGCAGTGAAGACATCAGGTGACCACTCGACACCATGGGTGCAGCGTGTTGCGTGATGTTGCGTTTTATTTGCAATCTGTGAACAACATTCAGTTTGTACTCAGTGGACTTCTTTCCAGAAGGCTCTATTGGATGCCAAGGTTGCTGGACATCGCACGGAGCAAGAAGGTCAGGAAGAAAGATCGGCGCCCCTTGGAAAGAAATTCAACTGACTGGAAATGTAACTTGTTGCCGCAAGGCCCGTTGTTTCATTGCAAATTCGCAAGTCGCAGCACGTTGCTAGTGACTTCATGTGGATTTGTTTGGTCAATTTTGTGCGTTCAACTGAAGCGAGCAAGAGTTGTGTGGGAAAATTGATTCTGAGGTAGAGATTGCCGAGGCTACCAGACAGCGGCGAGCGGATTTCTCTGTGACGGCCAGGCGACAGGGTCCGTGAGTCGCGCTTTTCCGGTTGAAGTTTTCGACATTGCAAAATCATGTAACATCACAGCATATCGCAGCATGTCCGAGTCAGTGACAGAACATCGGCAATGGCTTTGGAGATCTGCAAGCGAAGCCAACTGGCCATCCTCGTGAGGCCAGCCCTGCCGAACTCATCTCCTCCCTGTGAAGTTTTGCCAGGCTTTGAAGAAACGGAGACAGAAGCGGTGCTCTTCAGTGCATGTGCTTTAGCGATCCTATCGAGAAGATCAAAGATATCCAGAACCAATTGATGCACTTTATAAATGGTCTATTAAGTATGTCACATGTCACCAATGGATGACCCCACTTGAGTCACTATCCCTCGAGCTTGATTTCGCCCTTCCAGCACCCTTTTTCATTGCCAGGCATTTGCTTTTTTCCAATCACAAGCTATGCCAGAAGTGCTGTGAAATATCCTCAAGACCGCCAATTTGAGCGCTGCCAGAAGTGCAGCAGAAGCTTCTGCCTAGTTGAAATTAGATGCACATGTCGGCGCCCACATCAGTGATCACCATGAAATTGGTGTTTTGCTGTGGTGCTGACCTCGAAATTAGCCAGGAGGCTGTAGTTTTCCTATTTTGTTGCGAGAATTAAGAGTGACATCCGCAGAGATTCGCGGCTAAGTTGAAACATGGGCCATGGTCTCTACATATGTCAAGCCCCGCTAGGTTGAAACGTCATGGTCTCTACATATGTCAACCCCGCCAGGTTGAAACGTGGGCCATGGTCTCTACATTGTCAACCCCCGCTAGGTTGAAACGTGGGCCATGGTCACTACATATGTCAACCCACGCTAGGTTGAAATGTGGGCCGTGGTCTCTACATATGTCAACCCCCGCTCGGTTGAAACGTGGGCCATGGTCACTACAGATGTCAAATTCCGCTAGGTTGAAACGTGGGCCATGGTCACTACAGATGTCAAATTCCGCTAGGTTGAAACGTGGGCCATGGTCACCACAGATGTCAAAATCCGCTAGGTTGAACCGTGGGCCATGGTCACTACAGATGTCAAATTCCGCTAGGTTGAAACGTGGGGCCATGGTTCTACATATGTCAAACCTCGCTCGGTTGAAACGTGGGCCATAAACTCATGCGGCCCAAGGCACCCAGAGTGAGAGACAAGTGTGGGAGACAAGGGGGAGACAAGTGTAAACTCATGCGGCCCAAGGAATCCAGAGTGGGAGACAAGGGGGAGACAAGTGTAAACTCATGCGGCCCAAGGCACCCAGAGTGGGAGACAAGGGGTAGACAAGTGTAAACTCATGCGGCCCAAGGAACCCAGAGTGGGAGGCAAGTGTCAAGTGTGGGAGACAATTGGGAGACAAGTGGGAGACAAGTGTAAATTCATGTGGCCCAAGGCACCCAGAGTGGGAGACAAGGGGGAGACAAGTGTAAACCCATGCGGCGCAAGGCACCCAGAGTGGGAGACAAGGGGGAGACAAGTGTAAACTCATGCGGCCCAAGGAACCCAGAGTGGGAGACAAGGGGGAGACAAGTGTGGGAGACAAGTGTGGGAGACAAGTGTAAACTCATGCGGCCCAAGGCACCCAGAGTGGGACACAAGGGGGAGACAAGTGTAAACTCATGCGGCCCAAGGAACCCAGAGTGGGAGACAAGTGTGGGAGACAAGTGGGAGAGTGGGAGACAAGGGGGAGACAAGTGTACAAGGCACCCAGAGTGGGAAACAAGGGGGAGACAAGTGTAAACTCATGCGGCCCAAGGCACCCAGAGCGGGAGACAAGGAGGAGACAAGTGTAAACTCATGCGGCCCAAGGCACCCAGTGTGGGAGACAAGTGGGAGACAAGTGTAAACTCATGCGGCCCAAGGCACCCAGAGTGGGAGACAAGGGGGAGACAAGTGTAAACTCATGCGCGCCCAAGGCACCCAGAGCGGGAGACAAGGGGGAGACAAGTGTACAAGGCACCCAGAGTGGGAAACAAGGGGTAGACAAGTGTAAGCTCATGCGGCCCAAGGCACCCAGAGTGGGAGACAAGGGGGAGACAAGTGTAAACTCATGCGGCCCAAGGCACCCAGAGTGGGAGACAAGAGGGAGAAGTGTAAACTCATGCGGCCCAAGGCACCCAGAGTGGGAGACAAGTGGGAGACAAGGGGGAGACAAGTGCAAACTCATGCGGCCCAAGGCACCCAGAGTGGGAGACAAGGGGGAGACAAGTGCAAACTCATGCGGCCCAAGGCACAAAGAGTGGGAGACAAGGGGTAGACAAGTGTAAACTCATGCGGCCCAAGGCACCCAGAGTCGGAGACAAGGGGGAGACAAGTGTAAACTCATGCGGCCCAAGGAACCCAGAGTGGGAGACAAGGGGGAGACAAGTATAAACTCATGCGCCCAAGGCACCCAGAGTGGGAGACAAGGGGGAGAAGTGTAAACTCATGCGGCCCAAGGCACCCAGTGGGAGACAAGGGGAGACAAGTGTAAACTCATGCGTCCCAAGGCACCCAGAGTGGGAGACAAGGGGGAGACAAGGGGGAGACAAGTGTAAACTCACGCGGCCCAAGGCACCCAGAGTGGGAGACAAGGGGGACACAAGTGTAAACGCATGCGGCCCAAGGAACCCAGAGTGGGAGACAAGGGGGAGACAAGTGTAAACTCATGCGGCCCAAGGCACGCAGAGTGGGAGACAAGGGGGACAGACACAAGTGTAAACTCATGCGGCCCAAAGCACCCAGAGTGGGATGCAAGCCCGGAGACAGAGGCAAAATCATGCGGCCCAGGGATGCAACCCTTTGAAAGGAGTAAGAACCCCATACAGGTAAGCGTGTTTGGGGAAAAACGCAAAGAATTGTTGGCATTTGCGGTCCAACCCGCCCAAGGGACCCTCGTTGTGTCTCCTCGTTGTGTCTAAGTCTCTTGGGCCTCACGACACATTGTTGTCCGTGACCTTGGAATATATGGCAAACAAAGGTAGTGACGTTGCAAATGAGGGGTTTGCAAAGTCAACTTGTCAATTGCTGCATCTTGCTCTCAAAGTTCTCACAGAGACAAGCAGTTGAAAACACATGTACGTGCTGTCACATGATGCGATTCTAACATGCCAAAACTGGGAACTTTACCCAAAACGAAATACATGGACCAACTGGAATGTGGAAACTTTCAGACTGCTTGGTTGTCCTGCTTTGGCAGGAATACACTTTTTGTGGCGTTTTAGTCAGCTATGGATCGTATTACTGCGCCAAGCGTCACTCAAAAAGTGACATCGCCGCCCGGTTCTCCCACGATGCTTGGAAGCAGGCAGTTGCAAGCATTCTCGAATCAACCGCAGTAGTGTAGTCTAGTCCGCAATCACTTACCAGTTTTGGTGCTTTGAATCAGGACAAAGTTTGTTGGAATCACATTAGATTCGCATCCTTTATCATCTTGTTGGAATCTGGATGCGAATCCTTGTTGCAATCTTTGAGCACAGTGACAGTCGGCCCAAGGTCATGGTTGAAGTCTGACACTGGTCCCATGTTTCCCAAAGACAGGGCTGGTGCCATCCGCGGAGAACGGTCAGGGCCGCAGGGGTCTTGCACTGAAAGATGTCCAGACTGGTAGGAGGTATGTCACAAAACTTCCAGAAAGGTTGACCTCTATGTAAACCCTTGTAGTTGTTTTGGTGAAACTTAGAAGTACACAAGTTTGACCGCTAGCTTTTGAATTTTCAGCATTTTCCCGTATTGCTGACTGGTTTCATTTGTATGCTATTTAACAGAATCATTTCACGTTGGGATAACAAACTCCTAGGGACTTTCGATTCCTGCATGCCATGTATGCTGGCTGGCATGGTGGCAACGCTTCCCAATGTGTTTGTCCCCTCAGGCCACGTTTCGACTGGGTTGGGGACTAAGACGTTCACTGAAACAGCATGGCATGGGTTGGAAGACGTTGGAAGGCACCGAATCGCGACCTCCAAATCTTCACTTTGTTGCACGAGGTCTATGATCAGGCTGTAGCCTGTACTCATGACAAGTTGAATGGCGTGTTGAAGACTCAGCTGGTCCGGACGCCTGTGCCGTTTGGTGAGGTCTCCTTTGTCTCTGAACAACGTCTAAGTGCCTTCACAATGGATAATTTAGTCCGCAGAAGATGTCACAAGTTCGTTTCGCACCATGCCCAGGATGTTTGGCATTGTCCCAAGACCAACGGTACGCAGCATATCTTGCGCGCGTCCTGCCACATTGTGGATACCAATACCAGGCCCCTCGGTGTGCCAGTGGGGTGTGGACAAGTCATTGGTTACCATTGGTATCATCCAGTCGACATTGGTTATCCAATGGTTTTCCAATGCTTATCCTTATCCAATTGTTATCCAATTGTTATCCAATGGTTATCCAATGGTTTACCAATGTAGCAATGGTTGTCCAATGGCTAGCCACTGGATTTACCTCAATATCCATGGGTTCCCCATTGGTTGCATCATCTGCTTCCCATTGCCAGGCAGTCCATTGAGCGTTGGTACAACAAGTCCTTCTTGGCGCCAAAGCCTCGGGTGGAAGGATTCACTGCACTAGGTCCCTAAATCTGGTAAGTCATTTTACATAGATTGATGCACTACAGATGTAGATTGTCTGATTGAAAAACAGCAATTGTTTTTTAGATTCTTCATATTTCACCTTTAAATTGTTCACAACAGCCAAACTTTGACATGTTATCCCTTCGTACCTTCAACATATTTTATTTCACTGGATCCACATTTGTACGAAATTCCGTTGCATTCAAAGGTTCACGGGACACTCAACAATTGACAACATGAATTTGAAACTGCACATGGCCAAAAAGTGCCCATGTTTCATTTGGTTGGGAATTTCTCCATTGCTTCGAGGCACGGTCCCACAACACAAAACTGAAACCTGAAAGAGGCTGCGCAGTTTGGTAACAAACACGACTGCAATAAACAAAAGAACGAGGTTTTCAAACATGTCGTGTAACACCAATCCTGCAAATGCGGATTGGTGCACATGCATGATTTTTGGCTCACAAACAAATAACAATTGTAAACACAGGTGTTTATGTATGCTGGGCAGGTTTTAACTGTCGTAGTATTTTTCACTTGTCACAACCCCGAATACCACTTGCAAACCAACACCTTCCTCTGCTTTCAAAATGTGTGGTTTTCCTTCATTCACATAAATGATTTTTTGCATTGTTGTGTTTTACTTTGCCACGGATGTGCCAACCATCATTCAGAAAATGACATCGCCGCTTGTTTCTTTGGCTGCTTGGCAAATAAAAATAGGATGATTTGTGGAAACATAGGAGTTTCAAGTGACGGGGTAACATTGTCAGTTTCTACTTGATTGGCTGAACTGGAGACTGACAAACTTGTGGGAATACGTTGCAAACAAATGGACGTTTTTTCACACAATTTGTGCTCCAAAACTCCAAAACCGTTGAATTTCCTGCAACTAACAATTTTAATGATGACAGCCTTCGGAACTGAGGTCATGGGCTGACTGGCACTGGTTGTTCTCTCCCAGGCATCATCCGCGGCCAACGGTGAGAGGCCCGGGGTTTGCAGAGGGTTTTGGCCGGTGACCATCGACCCTTGCAATTTCTGCATTCTCGTGTATGTCCCAGTCGTTTGTTGATGTGCACCTTGCTCTACGGAAGTATTTCATAATGGGATGAAAACCTCCATGGGATTGGCAATTTTTGAAGTTGCATGATATGTTTGGGATGCAAAAACATAGTGGGAACATGGTTGGGTCAGGAGACCCTATAATTATATATAATTATATACTATACTATAGCCTTTGAATGCAAACAATGCTTCCAAATCTTGACCCCGTTGCCCGAGGTCCATTCTACCAATGACAAATGCAGTAACGTTTTGAAAACTCAACTGGTCCGGAACCCTGTGTTGTCGCAGTGAGTGGATCTTTTCACTTTAATCCACGACACAGCTGTACCCTGATGATGTATGATGATGTGCAAAGAAGTCTCAAATCCATGTGAAGCGGGTAAATTTTGTTTGTTTGGAATCAATTTCACCTGATTTTTTTGGTCTGGCCGAAGATGTTTTTTTTTTTCAAAGTCGGTAGACTAGCTGCATAGCAGGAACTATGATTAGAAATATCCTTGTCATTGCTTTATCTCATTGAGTCGTTCCCTGCCCTCTGTGGTTCCCACCTTGTTTGACCCGGCCACTGTTGCGTCGGCGTTCGCCCAGGACGTGGTGGACTTCCCCAAGACCACCGGTACTGGAAATGGAAAGGAAGGTGCCTGCATTTTGGTGTTTTGTCCCAGTACACCAGATCATTTGAGGGATTGCAAATTACCAACGACGTGTTTGTTGTGGAAACACATAGAGAAAATGTGTATTGACAGCTTGTGTATGATTTTTATGTGTCAACCCCAGACAAATCCACGGCCAGGCCCAGTCGTGGCGGAACATCTTGCGCTCATCAATCGTGGCACACTATGGCCATTTGGTGCGCCATTCGAACACAACAACCACGCATACCGGATTCGCTGTTGCTTCCTGGGCTGAATCTCTTGGATGACTTTTCTCAAGCTCCCCTGCCAGAAACTCAGTTCACATGTTGTGTTGGGAAGTCACTAATACTGCAGGATTGGGACAAGTGACCGAGATTCCTTGCACGAGCATCTGCTCAAACATTTTCGGCCTTTGTTGTCGCTCCCTTACTCATTTAAGCTGTTTAGCCTTTGTTAGAGGTGCTTGGGTCGATGTCGTCTGATTTTGCATGTCCATGGCACAGAAGCGAAAGCAATCATGTCTCTATGTCCTAATACTGCATAAGAGCTGGACAAAAGTCGGGCACATTGCAGCAAAGTGCTCAAGATGAGATCCGCAGGGGACAGAACAAGTTCGCAATACGACAGAACATGGTGATGCAAGACTCTTTTACCTCATAGTGAAGGTAACCTTGACGAGATGGAATAGGATGATAATTCCACTCTCAAGATCTTCTTATTGCAAATTGATATCTTCTTCTCTTAGACAACTTTCGTGTTGCGGGTGCAGAAGGCGCCCGTTTTATCGCGATCATGGCTCCGCCCGATGAAAAGTGCAAGCAACCACTTCCGAAGAAAGGTATGGAGATCAAGGCCACGCCAGAAGGCCAGACAGAGACTCGACAGGAACACATGGTGTCAAAAAAGCACTACATCGGGCACAAAGAACTCTACTGGATCAAGAGATTGGTTGCACATATATTTGGCGAGACTGACCCTGTCAAAGTCTGTGATCGGTTGGGTAAAGACCAGGTGTGTATTGAGGCTGTACATCCTCACAGCAACAGGAGATACCATATAGAGTTTGACCGAAAAGGCATCATAAATGCATGGGTACCGACACAGAAGTGCCGGAAGGACCATTGTTTCCTGGAGAATGAGGGCTATGGCTATGCAGCATACAATCCCAGGTCAAAGCGATTTCAGTACAAAAGTGGCAAGATGAAAGGTAAATTTGCCAAGGGGACTCTCGGAGAACCAAAGGGATTGGTGACAAACAACAAAAAGAGGAACAATTGGGAGAATCCCAGGACAAGCTCACCGAAGAAGAGCCCATTCCTGAAGAAACGGAAAAGCTTCAGCAGTCAAAGTAACAAGAAAAGGTTCGGCAGTCAAGGTGACAAGAAGGATTCGCATGACCCAGTTCAAAAGAGGGCTTTGTTCCGCTTCATACTGAGCAACGTGATCCGCCGCACTGCCAACTTTTTGCATGACAGGAACATTCACAACCTGGATGCAGGAGGAAAGGAAATTTGGGATGGCGCACCGACGTGTGCCAAAAGCGCGGTCATGGACGAGCTGACGCATGGTTTCGTGACGGCCATGCAGAGACGAGGCTATCCAACAAAGTCTATTTCCATGGCGGTGAACATGGTTTTGAAGCCTCTTGGGCGTGCATACCAAGCTGGAGGTGAACATGGTTTCATGCATGCATTGGAAGATGGCCTCAATGACTGGCTACATCTTGCTCAAAAGCAGGCAACGCAGAGACCTTTGGCATTTGTCGCCGATTGTGTGAATACTGTGGCTCCTTTGCTGTGCAGTTACCTCAATGTACAGTGGAGCGACAGCTACAAGGGCTTGAGAGTCTTTGGCTATGGGCTTGGTGTTGGCACACAGGTTGACTCAGGCCAGAATGGCTTCGTGGCAGACACTGGTGTTCATGGCAGCTATCGATTTCGCTCAATCCTCAACACAGCAGGTGCTTGCCTTAGTTATGCCGGGAAAGAATGCAATGTTGTTGCAAGTGTTGAAAAACATGAACTTTGTGCAATGCGAAGAGACATAGTGACTGGTTGACAAATTTCTGCAGACTCTGCCATTTTTATTTCCTTCAAAAATGATGTGGATTCTTCAGTATTCAGTATAGACAATGGAAGGAATTTTGGCCAATAGTACTTCAGTGGTGTCTTATGATTGCAAATTCAAAGTCATGGATTGATTTTGGCACTAGAGAATCTGTGCCTCGCTGAGGCATTGCTGGATGCATTGGGAAATCTCATGAGCAGATCAGAGCGTCCAAGACAGATGGCTACTTCCAGCGTGACGCGGACACTTATGGTACTCGTGCGAAGGTTGATGTTCTTGGAGTTCAATTCGCAGAGCTACGAGCCGGCTACATTGATTCCAAAGAGCAGGAAAGAAGCCAGATCTCTTTTCATGGCAAGCCAGCCAAGATGATTGCAGACACGTCGTTTCAGGGAGTTGGAACAGATGTGCGGTTTGGTTCTTCAGGGGCTCCGTCAGCAAGATTTGAAAGTGGTTTTGGGCGCTTTCAAGAGCGTGTCTCATGTGAATCTACTGATGGAACACACAGACTCGCCACATCTCAGACGGTGCTTGGACACCATACCAAAGCCTCCCTTGCAGGCAAGACTGTGGATCTGCGAGCCGGCTACATTGATTCCAAAGAACAGGAAAGCAGCCAGACCTCTTTCCATGGCAAGTCAGCCCAAATGGTTGAAGACACATCCTTTGAAGGACTTGGAACAGATGTGCGGTTTGGTTCTTCAGGGGCTCCGTCAGCAAGATTTGAAAGTGGTTTTGGGCGCTTTCAAGAGCGTGTCTCATGTGAATCTACTGATGGAACACACAGACTCGCCACATCTCAGACGGTGCTTGGACACCATACCAAAGCCTCCCTTGCAGGCAAGACTGTGGATCTGCGAGCCGGCTACACTGATTCCAAAGAACAGGAAAGCAGCCAGACCTCTTTCCATGGCAAGTCAGCCCAAATGGTTGAAGACACGTCCTTTGAGGGACTTGGAACAGATGTGCGGTTTGGTTCTTCAGGGGCTGCGTCAGCAAGATTTGAAAGTGGTTTTGGGCGCTTTCAAGAGCGTGTCTCATGTGAATCTACTGATGGAACACACAGACTCGCCACATCTCAGACGGTGCTTGGACACCATACCAAAGCCTCCCTTGCAGGCAAGACTGTGGATCTGCGAGCCGGCTACATTGATTCCAAAGAACAGGAAAGCAGCCAGACCTCTTTCCATGGCAAGTCAGCCCAAATGGTTGAAGACACGTCCTTTGAGGGACTTGGAGCAGATGTGCGGTTTGGTTCTTCAGGGGCTCCGTCAGCAAGATTTGAAAGTGGTTTTGGGCGCTTTCAAGAGCGTGTCTCATGTGAATCTACTGATGGAACACACAGACTCGCCACATCTCAGACGGTGCTTGGACACCATACCAAAGCCTCCCTTGCAGGCAAGACTGTGGATCTGCGAGCCGGCTACATTGATTCCAAAGAACAGGAAAGCAGCCAGACCTCTTTCCATGGCAAGTCAGCCCAAATGGTTGAAGACACGTCCTTTGAGGGACTTGGAACAGATGTGCGGTTTGGTTCTTCAGGGGCTCCGTCAGCAAGATTTGAAAGTGGTTTTGGGCGCTTTCAAGAGCGTGTCTCATGTGAATCTACTGATGGAACACACAGACTCGCCACATCTCAGACGGTGCTTGGACACCATACCAAAGCCTCCCTTGCAGGCAAGACTGTGGATCTGCGAGCCGGCTACATTGATTCCAAAGAACAGGAAAGCAGCCAGACCTCTTTCCATGGCAAGTCAGCCCAAATGGTTGAAGACACGTCCTTTGAGGGACTTGGAACAGATGTGCGGTTTGGTTCTTCAGGGGCTCCGTCAGCAAGATTTGAAAGTGGTTTTGGGCGCTTTCAAGAGCGTGTCTCATGTGAATCTACTGATGGAACACACAGACTCGCCACATCTCAGACGGTGCTTGGACACCATACCAAAGCCTCCCTTGCAGGCAAGACTGTGGATCTGCGAGCCGGCTACATTGATTCCAAAGAACAGGAAAGCAGCCAGACCTCTTTCCATGGCAAGTCAGCCCAAATGGTTGAAGACACGTCCTTTGAAGGACTTGGAACAGATGTGCGGTTTGGTTCTTCAGGGGCTCCGTCAGCAAGATTTGAAAGTGGTTTTGGGCGCTTTCAAGAGCGTGTCTCATGTGAACCTACTGATGGAACACAGCGTTTCTTTTCAGAAACTGACATGATCGGAGCTTCCGTGAAAACCACAGTGGATGGAGCCACAATGTTTGGTGTGCAGGCTGGTGTAGGAAAGCAAGAGGAGATTCACACTCAGATTTCCACCCTCCAGAATGGGCAAATGCAAGTGGAATCAAATGCATCTTCAAACGGTGGATTGTTTTTGAAGGGGAACGTTTTGGGCGTTGCTGGCTTGTCTGCAACGCTTGGATCCAAAACAGAGGCAAATCGTGTGACGACCCATGTTGCAGCTAGGAAGCTGAAAGAGGACTTCTCCGAAACATGCTTGCATGGCTTGGCATGCACCACATCACTAGGTAGCTGTACATACGACTGGTCAACTGGACGATCCTGGAAAACAGAAGGTCATTCCACCCATCAGCTTCAAGGCAATGGGGTGGCATTTGCCCGAGAAACCACTTCAGATCAGTGTGTCTCCTTTGAAGACAAATTCATAGGATTCTCTGTGTCAGACGAGACCCAGCAATACGAGACTCGCGCTGTGGTTGAGACCTACGGCCTGGAGCAACCTACCGGCAGCGTGGCCAAGCTCGTGGAGCGTCAGATGAAACATGAGCGAAACCTGCAGACCGGACAGGAAACCACCGTCCAAACTGTTGCCTGGCGAAGCGCGCTTTTTACCCATCGTTAAAGTTATGCCGTTCTACCCAACAGGACCCCGAAAATACGCTTCCCAGACAGGCTTCCTAAAGGTTTGGTTTCAAGTGCAAGGGCCATGGGCAGGTGCGGTTTAACGTTCCAAAGGTTTCGAACGAAAGTCGCAAGTACCGCAAACTTTTTCAGATAGACTTTCCAACAGCGGTTTTGGAAGGTTGCAAGGGTCAGGAACATTCTCAAAGTGGCACCCGGGTAAATTTTGGCTGGTTTGAGACCGTGTGTTGTGCATGACCACAGGTTCCGGAAAGTTTCAGACAAAGCCACCAAGTCTTGAAACCATTCCCGAGTTCAGCCAAATTCTGGATAGTTCTGGAACTTTTCAAAGGAGGTTCCAAAAAGCATCAAAAAGCTATTCCTGTTTTTACCGTTTCAGTAACAGCTTAGGTTCGTAGTGGAGTGCTTTCTTCAACAGTTGTGGGCCGTGGACATCTCACTGACGAGGGGGTTGAGTTTGACAACCAGCTCCAGACTAGGCACCACCTCGATCCAACTTCTGGATACTCCAGATCAGGCAAGCTGTCTTTGACAGGTGAGGATGCAGCAAGACTGAAGCACGCAGCTGCTGAGAAGTCGTCATCTTCAAACGGTTGGATTGTCGACACCCAGAAGAATGTTGCGAAGGACATCAAAGAAGTCATGGATTATGCGAAAAGATCAGAGTTGTCCACGGGAAACACGGGGGCCTTTGCGCAGGCATTGGTTTCGAATGTGAAGAAGTATGACACGAAGAGCCTTCAGAAGTTTAACATGATTAAACGGGTCGTAGGAAACGCAGACCCAAGTACATGGACATCGAATGAAAATCAAAGGAAAATCCTGTCTCACATGGGTGACGTCCTCAGTGGTTTTTGGGGGACCGTATGGTGTCATTTAGAAGCTTTGATCTGTCGCCCCCGCATGGTTTCTGCAGGTGTTTGCTTGGATTTCCAGTTTAAAAATGCTTCATTTCAATCATGCAAGCTGCTCACACTACTGCTTGTTTTTACAGCAGGCATTGCAGGTTTTGGATAAGTAGTTGCGACACGCCCTCATACCCACAAGGCAGGCTGACCTTACGATGAGATTATGATAAGGGTTCCCGCAGACAGCACCACTAGACTGCAGTTCGTACAGTAAAACAACGTGACCTGTCCTTTCAAAGTTGTATTGTATGTTTGTTTTTATTGATGCGGAAGCTTTCTGGATCCAACTCAAAAGATATTGTAGAAGACCAATAATGCACGCATTTCCTTTGTGTAGGATGCATACCTGTGCTTGCTGCATTTCAGATACTCCTTGTTGAACTGAAAAGAATTCCGCTCTCGAAGTGCCTGCGTACACACTTGGCAATAGGGTTTTTAATTAGGAATAAGGGGCACGTTACCTACTGATTTTTGATGAAAATGGAAGCCTTCACAGATGCCGGTGCAAGGGAACACGCGATGTGAGGTCAGTTGGAACACCGCTCCCTAAAAAATGCTCCCGAAGAAATGGCGAAAACTCCAGGCTTCTTTCTTGAATAATTTTGCCGCCCAATCCACCTAGCTTTCCATGATCAAAAATCTGTAGACTTTGTCATGAATCTGTATGCATCTTTTGAAAATCGCTCTCAGTGCTCGATGCTGATGATGATGAACCTCTTGACACTGGCGAGCCAGGGTGAAACATTAGAGTTTGTATTTTTATGAGAATTGCGCTCGTTGACTGGGTTGGCAGTTGCCAAGCCTAGGTCGCCTGAGTTCCTTGTACTTTCTGACTTGTGGTAGGATTCACCTTTAATCGCTGAATTTCGCCGGTCTAGAATACATTTCTCTTGGTCGTAAAGGCTATTAAGTGCCCAATTACATTCAGGGCTTCGTCGGTAAGCAATTCTTTCAGCTTTCTTCTCCCATCACGTTTGTGCATGGCCTCCAACAGTGCTTGCAAATCTTCTCTCAACACCTTGCTTTAACAGTTTTATCAACAGCTTCTTCTACTTATTGTGGTTTTCCTTTCCTGCGGGATTGCTGCAGCACTGCACGCTTCTCGCTTCTTCCTCTGCACGCCTTTGCAACACTTCCCTCTGATTGCATTTCTCCTGGTACCCCTCTTGACACTTACTTCTTCTCCCAGCAGTTTTTTGCCTTGTTTTCCAAGCAATCTGTCCATGTCGTTTTCTTGCTACACGGCATGTCTACTTGCACGAATTCACGTGTATCGCCATTCTTTTCTCAACAACTTTTCACATTTGATCGTTCAAAGGAATGTGTTGCAATGTTGCAATGCTTCTCTTGATTACATTCGTATGCCTCCAGTGGTTTGCTACATTTCTGTTAGCACCCGTTTCAGCATGTTCCGCACCCATTCGAGCTAGTCCTTGACAGCAAAACTTGCACCATTATTGTCCCGGTAGGTGGGCAGTACGTCCAACTTTGCCAGAAAGCTTGAACTATTGTGGACGGAAGAAATCCTGCACCACCTTGGATTGTTGAAATCCTATGAATTATGAATAATGGGAAAAACTAACAGTCAACTGGTGCAGGATTTCTTCCATCCACAGTAGGTCCACCCCAGAGGCTGCCTGGACAGTTTTTGGGCTTCATGCAGCACAGGTGTAACTCGACACCATGCATGCACGTGAACTCAGGAAAGACCCTTCGGATCCCGTGGAAACACCAAATATTACCGATGTGCGAGCCTGATTGCACATGATGTGTCTGTATTTTTTGCTATCTAGAGGGCTCCACCTAAAACAGAGCATTTTAGCACTTAGACACTAAGTTTGTGCGTGCTAGGCCTGCACCGGCACTTGTGACATATTTTCCCATTTGCAAAAACAAATAGGTGATATTTTGGTTTCCACCCCTGACACCAAAATCTAGATTAGCAAGCATGTTGGACTGACATCCATGGCCTTCTCAAATAGGAGGCGGCCATATTAAGGAGCACCTGCCGAGGAATACACACAGGAAAACCAGTTCAGGCATTAGCACCCGATCCTCATCATTACTCATGGTCCGCATCATGCCCGCATCATCCTCGCATCATCTTCATCCTGATCCTCATCATCCTGATGTTCATCCTCATCCTCATGCTCATCCTCATGTTCATTTTGCTCATTGATTGCATCGGAGGGCAGCTAAAAAACATCGCGGTAGCCACCTCCTGTATCATGTCTTCCCTTGTTCTGCCAACAGGATGCAGCGTTAGGAGGCGGGAATTCTGCAGGCCCCGATCAAACAACTCTTGTCACGTAAGCTAGCTGCTGTTAGCTGAAGTCCGTCTTTCTCTAGCAAGGTATTAGCTGGAATCCCCAATGATGAAACTTCGTAGTTAAATACCCGTTCCCCTCCCCCCACCCCCAGGCTCAATTCTACCCTGGTTTCCCCTCTCGTCATCCCAGTGACGTTTTATTATTGTGAGTAGCAGGGTATCCATGACCGTGATATGACAGCATTAGCTCATTATCTTTAGCCTCTTGCTTCTCCTCCCCGTACTCTTCCTCCTCATTGTATCCGCCCTGCTAGCTTTCGTTCCTCACCCCTTCTCCTCAAGCTCAGACAAGACCAGCCACCAAAACCCATCCCTCTCAAGTCACATGCCTTGCACTATTTGAGGCTGCGGTGTTGAAATTATCTGTGCGGCCGAGGTCTAAAAGCTATGGATAGGAGTTGTGACGCAGAGTACAAAGTGCTTGATCGAACTGGATTGCGTGAGATTGGGCATGGGAAGCAGGTAAGTGTGAAAACCGCCGATGATCTGACGATTCGAAAAGAGGTGAAGGGAGTTCATGAGGATTTGAAGCTTGACAACTACGGCTTGTCAAGTGTGAAGACGTGCATCGGCCAGTCACTTGAAACGCAAACCCGACTCACACAGCGTCCTTCCTACTGGAGCTTGATGTCTTCTTTTAGTGGTTCCTCTACACACACGACTCAAACTGAGATCAATGGGGTGATTACCACAAAAAACGTGCTTGGACAGGCAGTGCAAGATCAGAGCACAGGAGCAGTCACTGTAAGGAAATCAGTTGATGCCAGCAGCTATGAACGCAAGCGCCTTGTATTCACAGATGAGAGGAGCTTCACCTTCCAAGAAGAGCAGAAAGGCAGAATTGAGAAGGGAAAGATGAAGGACATGGCAGTGGTGAGTCAGCTTGCTTCCTCAGTCCAGTACAAATCCTGTTGCATGATGGACTATCGAACCATTACCAAAAAATTTGAAAACGGCGTGGTCACTGTATCAGATGAAGGTCTGTTTCTGAAAAAGGTCACATCTGGGAAGGGATATGTCTTGCAGAGTGAAGAGGAGATTGTCTTAAGGCGAGAGGAATCCAAGAGTCTTGCTCTTTCTTCTCACTCGTGTCAGGGCATTGCAGGAGCTTTGGGCTCTGGTTTGAGACATTACTTACGAGAAGGGCAAGTAGACAAAGAGTTGGGCAAAGCTGCGGTCAAAGGTGGAGCGTATTCTTGGGGCATGTCCATAGTTACTCAGAGTATCGAGCGGCGTCATGCAGGTGGCGGTGCTGCGGCCTTTGCATTTGTACAAGCTGCTCAGCAATCATTGGCGGCTCTCCGTGATCCCACCAAGACCAACAAGGAGAAGGTGGAAGATGTCGCGATCTCCGGAGGAAAAGCCTTGGTGGTGTATGGGGCACTTCGATTGGCTTCCAAACGGATGATGGTGTCTGCGGCGAGTTGGATTGTGCCAGTGGCGGAAATTGCTTCAGAAGGCGTGCGCACCATTGTGAGTTACTATAAAGGTGAAATCACATGGGCCAGATGCAGGAGCAATTTAACCAAGGCAGTTTGCGCTGCTGTTCCAGCTGCGTTTGGGGGTTGGGGAGGCGCAGCTGTGGGAGCGATGGTTGGAGGCCCTCTTGGTGCTGCCATAGGTGCGGTCCTTGGCGGAATTGCTGGCGAGCGCGTGGGAAGCTTCCTCTCTTCCAACCTACACAAGGTCGCTGAGGGCGCAGATCCTTTGTTTGAATTGTCAGCAACAATGAATTTCCTCAAG